ATGACACTTTCACTGTTCAGGGAGAAATGATAAAACACAGACTCTGCTTTTCTATTCTTGTAGCTTTGCTATGATTTATTACAATATTACAGAAGATTACCAATTCAGAATAAGTCTTTTATTAATAGTATATGAGAAAACTGTTTTCTCATCAGTCTAACAATGTGAGCTCTTCAAATTGATGGATTATAAAATACTTCTTATTACAATAAATAATTAATATAATAATAGAAACATTAAGGCAATGATTTTCAATTTATCAGAATCTTGTAATGATACAGGCTGTTCCAAAAAGTGAGTTGGTGAGTTGGGTATTTAGGAAGTGGACTGTTTTAGGAATTTATTTTTTACTGTAGATTATGTTGTCAAGGCTGAGAAAGACTGTTAAGTGTTTCCTGGGAGAAAAGTAAATACAATAGGAAATTAGGAATCAACCTTAAAGTTGCTCTTTCTGTTCCAGTTTTTATCTACTAATAATTCTTATCTTAATCATATTAATAATTCTTCTGAGGGAAAAATATGTCTATACACAACACAATGTGCTATTAATATTAATATAGCTCAAGCTGTATGATACAATTCAACTCCATTTCATATCAGCTGAAATAAGTGTCTGTGTGCTTTTCCAAATGTCTGCACTATCTAGAATTATTATGCAACCTCCTAAGTATATTTTCAGAGCATCACACAAGGACCTCATTTCCACTGACACATTAATAATGCCTGCATAATTAATGGATAGGCAGAGTCATTTGAGAAAATATTCTATCATCTTCATGAAAAAGAAGACTGACGGAGTTTCAGAACAGCCTAATCCCTGGAAGACAGTATTCAGACATATCTTCAGTCCCCTCTGCTGCTTAGAACCAGTGGAATTGCAAATAATGCATTGCTTTGGTTGACATCTTTTCTGTGATTCATCAGAGATGCTCAAGGACTTTCTGTTGTGTCTTTGGGTAATGCGTAGAGATTGTATGGAAAGGAAGGAATGATTTCAACTGGGTTATTTTACAGGTTTAGTTCACTGCACTTAAGACCAGCTAACTGAATTGAGCTGTTGAGAAGAGCTGAAAGGAGCCTCTACCGAGCCCCCTCCCCCCTGCAAAATCTCTGTATGTGAGCTCCCTTCCACTTCACTTGGGAGCAGCTTTTCAGCTGAGACTCTTGTGTTTGAAGACGACTTTGCTACAGATAGTTATTTCTATGAAAATAGTATTTCTCCCAGGACTACTGAAAAGATAACTCCTTTTCGCAAGGGGCTTGAATGGGATATTCATCAAGTTCCATCTTTTTTTTTTTATTAAACCTGTCTGTGTATTCAACAGCTTACTGATCCTGCCTATTTCAATAAATAAAGAGGATCTGTATTTTAAATGTGAATGTGCAGAGTTTGCTTCATACCTTCATACCTTCATCAGCCTCAGATACAGTTGGCAACCCATCCAGTAACAGTGTTGCAAAAGGAATATAAGTTCTTCCTGTCTTTTCTGCTTAACTGTTCAGTATTTAAAATAATTAGCTTCTGTATTCAGATAGCCAAATTATAGTTGTACAGGTGATTTCTTTATAAGCAACTGGCTTCCTATCTTGGCTCCTTTTCTGTCCATTTGCCTTCACCGTTTAGCAGAAATATGCAGCATCAACTTTTATTTAGTGGTAGAAAACATACCCATTCTAAACAATAAAGCAAAGTCCCATACAGACTGCATTCTTTCCTACATTTTTCTTGCAGTTCAGTGAGTCTAAATCTCACTGAGGGAACCCTTTAGGAGTTCAATTAGGAGACAATATTTGATTGAATGAAAAGCTAATGACAGCTTTGATGCTAGATAAGAAATCAGATTTTCCACAGCAATAATTCAGTCATATCAGCCTGTGGCTGACATTTTCTGTTTGGATTTCTTATTTAGTCAGATATCTTCCTTCCATATGGCTTGAGAGTGACCTCAGTTGACTCAGTCCCTCTGCTCCTCAATTTTTGACACAGTCTCTTTGGATTGTGCTACAGCCTGATTTTAGTTTACTTTAGCCATATAGAAGTACATTTTGGGGTCTCATTGCTGCTGATGTCATTGTTCTGTTGCACAGAAAGCTGAATTTTGGTCTGAAACCTGTTTTGTTAACAGCCTATGAATTTTAGAGGGGGAAGACTCTCTTCTCTGACAGAAAAAAATTGGAACAAAAAATGTATCTGTATATAAAACTCTTGATTGAGAGCTAACATGAAGGGAAACCCTCCATATTCCCTCCTCCTGTCAGGAGTCCCTGAGGTCAGGGAGACCTAGACTAGGAGGTTGCTTCTGTGGACATCTGTAGAGCAAAAGAAACAAAGTGGGCAGGCATAAGCTTATTTATTTTGCATGCGTAGTTTATGCATTTTTTTTGTTGTTGTTGTTATAACATGCATTTTAAACATGCTTTTCTTTTAAAATACTTTTGTGAGCTGAGAAAGTGCATGCTCAATGCTGGCCATACTCTTACAGGAGACGACATAAAAGTGGGAACAAAAGCTGTGAAGGTTACCTAGAGCAGCTAGGAGGGAAGGCCCCAGCACAAGGCAGAACTGGTGGGAGAGAAAAGGAGGGAGGAAGGAAAGCATTCAGCCAGCTCAACTTTGCTGGACCACAGCAAGGCTAGGTACTAGTTTCAGACTGTGAAAGTTACGGCAAGAACAGAAAAATAACCAGCAGGCCTAAAATTTATCTCCTCAGAGAAGAACAACGCGAGTTGTTATATTAAGAATTGTTGTTAATTTTTTTAATCTACCTTATTAGTTTTTTCTAAATCTTTAATAAAATGCATGGTTTATTTACTCACTTAATTAGTGTTTGCTGATAATAAAAATGAGCTTTTATTGTGAACAAGTTTAGGATAATTTTAGTATGTAAAAAATAATCACAAATTCCTAAGAAGAGAAGGCTGAATGCAATTTTTCCCATTGTATAGATGATACTGAAATGCACACAGTTCTTGCTGCTTTGCACTAGTGTTAATGATAGTGCACAATGGGGTATCCAGGTCTTTAGAGACAGCTTTTAGTTTTCAGAGGTGTTTTATTAACTTATTTTTCAGTAGGAGAAATAGAGGCATACGGTTTTGTTACACACGGAGGCCATCTTGTGGCAAAATGTTGGTAGTCTTATTAAAATACTTTTAATTTAGATGGAGAAATGAATTCAAATTTGTTGCAATATTTCCATTATTATTTGTAGTACCATCATAAACTGGGGCATGATCAAAATATACGTACATTCTGACAATATCTGCTGAGCCTGCAGAGGAATATTAATTCCTAAAGAGAAAGCACTAATGCCGAAATGTGTTAGGCCAATGAGAAATGTGTGATAATGTTTTTTGCTAATAAGAAGCCAATTTACATTTATAAAGCATCTTTATTTAAAGAAAACTGCAAATGAAAGGATGATTATGTCACAGGAAAGGGGTTAAATTCCTCATATATTCTGTCTCACAATTAAAATTTGATAATCTAATAGAATAAGACATACTGACTAGATGAATCAAACTAATTAATACTATTGATATTTATCTTTTCTTTTGCACTGCAATTTTCTCATTAGTGATTTGGAAGTGTTGCAAATATATGACCTCTGAAAATAAAATATCCAGGCTAACAATATCACAATTAAGATTTGTCAGCAGGACATAGAGAGGTTCTAAACAGCCTAAATACTAATAAAGTTTAGATTAATAATTTTTAGATTTAGATTAAAAATTACAGATTAGATTCTATTATTAAAGTGGTGGTGGTTGGTTTGAAAGAGGAAAACAATTAGTGCATTGAATCCAGAAGAAAAACAGTGCCTAAATAATAAGTATGCACAGGTGGACTTGAAGAAAGAGCTGCATCTATTGCACATTGTTGGAGTGGTAGGGAAATTGCACAGCTGTGACAGCCTGTGTAATTACAAACTGGTATGTGTGAATACCAAGCAGTGAGCTTTCCCCCAGAAATGCGTGATTCATTGCATCTTGCCAGCTACTTTGAGCCTTTAACAGAAAAGTCATAGTTTAGCATTTAGAGAAATTTTTGGCGTGTTGTATTGGATTGCAATATAGCAGCAAGTAACAGAAGGCCATATATTGGCATATAATTTCAGTAGAAACATGGTTATGAAAGTTCAACTCTACTATTGCTCTGACTTCTAAACATCAAGTTAGTCTTATTAACATTCTGGAAAGAAATGAGTGTTTATAGTTTAAAATACATGCCCAAGGAATGGCACCAATACACCTGGTTTACTCTCTGTACCTGCAGTACAAAAGCTCAGTGTGATAAATAAAATTTCAAAGCAATACATTTTAAAATTTCTATGAAGAAATACTCCTTTTTCCAAATTATAAAAAAAAAAAAAACAAACACATTACCATGAGAGATAGAAGTGAGACAACAAACCCAGTATATCCTGGAAACAGATCAGATATTCACATGTCGCAACACTGAAATCTGCTATGACATTCACAAGGATAATCAGCATTCACTGAGAATACAAAAGTCAGAATTCATTAATAACAAACCTGAAAGTAAGAATATTCTTACTGCCTGAGCATTATAATGTTTTATTATGCTTTCATTTGCTATTTTTACTGGATGCAGTGTAATCCATATATCATTAAGTGATTGGTAAGATTTTGATTAGGCAGAGCAAATAATTTCTAGTGTTTAAAGTATGTGGAAATATAATTCTGTGTTAATTATGGTATGCGCAAACAATTGAAGTCCTTAGAAATCTATACAGACCAGTCTATATAATTCTTCACAGCTATATTTTCACCCTCTCACTATGCTACGGAAGAAATGTTCACTTTTAGCAAGCAAGGACATTGCTATTACACTTTGCTTTACACTTTTCAAAGTAACAAATAAATAAGCAATCTTATCCCTGACTGGTATCTCTGTCACTTATTCATCCAACTATATCACAAATATTCACATCTTTCAAAAAGAAAGAAGAGAAATTAGGCTGTTGCCAGTGATTCTATCAAGTGAACACTTTATTTTGCCACTTAAAACGAAGTTCTTCTGAAAGATCATTTCTGCCACTCTTCCGCAAATAGCGAGACAGGAGCTGCTGTTTATTAGCTGACCTTGGAAGGGTCTTTTTCCAGCTGCAAAGCAGCTCATAGATCTGGTGTGTTAAATTATCAGGGCACTTCAGCCTAACAAGCTGAAGTACGCTCCGCCGAACAGGTAAGCATAAAGCAAGCAATGATGTATTATCTTCTGCAAGCTCTTCTGCAAGCCAGTATAGGAGGTTGTCCCATAGGGCCTCTGAAGGACAAAAATTAGTACATTAAGATCATTATTCTTCTGCTATGAAAATCCTTCTTTCTTTTGCAAAGCTTTCTAAAGCTGGAGGCTGAGTGGGTGAACTCCCCAACTGAATACGTTTTTTCACTTTAATGGAAACGCAATCACTTCTAATGCCGTTTTTGGCAACTGCATAAAAGTTAAGAGCAGATTCAGCAACAACCTATAAAATTCGTTTAGAACTGTATGGGGAAAGGTAGCAATAAAATAAAAGGGTTTTGGCATTGGATGGATACATCAGTTAAACTGGAGCTTTCCATTACAAATGGAATCTCCTTATACAGAAAATTGTGTGCTGTTCAAGCACCCCAGCACAAGATTTTCTTTTGAGAGTTTTTGAATTTTCTGGTAAAAAACAGATCACTTTTTTATTTCTTTGAATGTCTGTTAACTCATTAACTACCTTGGTTACTGAATTTTAAAATGTCAGTTACAGCTGAACCAAATCTTGGCATTAAAAGAAGTAAATAGCAAATATAACTGTTATTTATATTGATATGAATATATTATATATATGTTCTTACCTGATGAATCAGAAGAAATTATTTTCATGCTTTGTGGGCGGTTGATGAACTTCTCATGCTATCAAAGAAAATTTATTGAGGAAAGAGAAATGAGCAAATGAATAAGCAATGAGGACATGGGAGTGGATTGCAGTATATCAGCATTTAAGATGGATTTTTCCTGTACAGAGGATTTGTGTCATTACTGAAACCAGTTAACACCACCATTGGTACAGAGCTGTTAAAATAATGAAGTTAAGTCTGTTTATACCACTGGATGTGTATTGCATCTTATTAAAAAGCTTATAATTTATGAAATTTTATATATGTTTGATCAATAGCATTACATCAACATTATTATGTATAGAAACCAGGCGTATAGAAAATCTGTATGGAACCTTGGTACATGAAAAGGATTCTGATTTCGAACACTGCATTAACTTTGCCTTGCTGTCTCTGTGTTCTTAATACGACTGTGTGCATACCACACTGTTTCAAGGAAAATAACAGTTTCTAGGTATGCAGTAGCTGGTTTTAGGTCTAGAAATCATACTATGCTTGTAGTTATGGTTATTCAACTTTTAATAATTACTAAAAATCATCAGAATTGAAAAGACAAGTTCCATTAGAATGTGGTATTCTTTCTCTTTCTTCATCTGAACACTGGTGAGAAAGAAAAAAATATACTTTGTCCTTTTCCCCTATGACTGAGAAAGAGGAAAGTCTTCTGGTCTTTACTGTTGTTTCCTAATCCATACTCAAAAAGAAATTACTTATATAAGCGCTGAGCCACAAAGAGATTAATTCCTATGAAGTTCAGCTTTTTTTTTTTTTTTTTTTTTTAACAGCTGTAATTGTTCGCTTTTTCACACAGATTCAGTTGTATGACCTGGCTGTTTATGCACAGTTTTCACTGTGAGACTTGCTCCAGGTTTATTTGCTGAGCGTCTGTTATCCATTTGTGAATTAAGAACATGAAACTCTGAATGGATAAATCGTTCTTCTTTTCCTGCTATGCATACTGAGCCAGAGCTCCGCTGAGCTTATCTTAAATACTTTTATAAAACGGACTTCATATCTTGTTCAGTTTTTGGAGTGTTTCGTATGCACTGAGCTATATGTCCAAAAGCTCAATATAATCATAACTGTTACCTGTTTACCTGTGAATTCATTCATTTGGCCTGTACTCATCATATTAGAGGGTTTCAGTTTGCACAGGATGCACACAGTATGCGCTGCTTGGCAGTGCAAAACCATCCTGCACTGCACTCATCTCGATAATGGAGTCTGCCTCATCTTGCATGCTCCTACAGCAATTCTGTCACTGGACATGCCCTAGCATGAAGGTAGCATAAGATTGCTAAAAAAAATCTTTTAAATAAAGGGAATATAAAGCTCTTCCAGAAGGGGGCATTGTTTTTCTTCCAAGACAGCTTGCTTTGGCTTTCTTTAATTGTGCGTTTATATTTAAACTTATTTTCTTTCATAAATGGGAATTTAGCACCTCAAAGGTCTGTATGAGATTTTCAAAGTTATTGTAGATGAACTCAATTACCCATGCACTGACTTTAATCTGAACTACTTTATGCTACTTAATGTTAAAATAGTAGTAAAAATGATAAGAATTGAAAATTAGAATTGTCTAGAAATAGTGTAATAATATACAAGGCATTAGAGCTAAAACATTAAATCTGCCTTTAAAGTTTAAATATCTGTGGTGAAGGGCTAAATTCACCCACGGTTCAGCTGCACTGCCATGTAGTTCCACTGTTCTGGCTGACAATGTAAGTAAAATGCTCTTAGCAGTCAAAGCAGTTTTCTAGTCTGGAAGGCCCTTCAATTAGCTAAGCGAAGCTAAGCTCTGCCTTTCTGAAGCAGAGGATCACATGCTATTTTGCTGTTAGACAGTCATTAGACATAAAACTTCAGTAGAATAGTAATTTGATAATGCTTGTATGTATTACAACAATCTCTTTCTGCAAAGCATTCTGATTTCAGCCAGTAATACTGAAGTGCTCTGTCAAATGGACCTCAAGGCATGACCAGACTCCAGCAGCATATCAAACAGGACAGACAGAGGAGAAATTATCCTTTAAACTCCTTAGCCCAGTTTCACATAAATACGACTGCTTAGAAATCAGTAGAAATATTGCTGGCATGCACACACATACTTGACATCAGAACCTAATCCACTGTATTAAACTTGTGTTGAAAATAACAGGTTTGAACAATAGGAGTTTTCTAATGCTGAAAAAATGTAAGCTTAAGAAATAGGAATTGTTAGTGAAGGTCAGCTTGCTTCTGTGTAAGCGTAACATGTTTAAACTAAAAAATGAAGTGAATGGTTGCATACTAAGTAAACAGCTGCTGCTTTTAGCACTGTCAGAAATATATTTGTAAGAGACTGGATAATGTGGGCATATACATAAAAAAATGGCTTATAATCTACAGAGTTACTCTCTTCTCTCCACAATTCAAGAGAAATTTAGGTGGGAATTTTACAGCAATGAGTGAAAATGTATTCAGAATGGCTGCCTGAAAAAGACTTCATCTGTCTTTGTCACAACCAAAACCAGGCGTTGTGGATGGTCTAACTCTATCATCTCACCAAAAAAAAAATTAAAAAAAAGCCAAAATTTCCTCTCATTTTGCTGAGAAAATTTCTATTTTTACTGACAACACTAGTGTTTGTGATCTCATGTGAATTAAAACTAACCTGTTAACATAATTAAACTAAACTTAAGATATTTATTAACTCAACAAATCAGCAGAAATGTAAATAGTCTTTGCTGTTCTTGCCCTGATTTACTGCTATTCTGGGGATTTTAAATGAGCCATGAACGGATCCCCCAGCATAGTGGGAGCAAGTGAGAAGTCTGTCAACAACACTACAATGTACAGTCAACTAGTTCACACATAAGACATGAAAGCCTTACTGTGACAACTGGAATTCTGTAAAGTAGCTGCCTTAGTGTGAGCAACGCTATAAACAACCCAGCATTATCAATAAGTCATATTTGACCAGGGCACATTATGTTTTGATATTCTTGCAAGATTTGCGGCACTTTAACTGCTGTACTGTCATCCTACACATGTGATAGAGACTAGCAAAATTAAAGGATCGTTGCTTGACTGTATGTCTACGCACACAAATGTGGTCAGATAGTTCTCAGGTGCTTTGGCAAGATACATTAATTGCATCAGCATGCAACTAATTATCGCCAGTGCCAGTCTGGGTTCATCTTATATGAACATTAACACAAAACTTGGACTTTAATGAAGTGGTAAATAGCAGTTGCATTTAACAGATGGCTGGTGTAGTTGTTTGTACAATTAGTGCATTAAATTTCTCCCTAGCTGTATTTTCTCATCTGATTTTAACTATTTGCTTCTATTTCTTTTATTCATCAGAAAGACCACGTAAGCGTAAAGATATATCTGATTCAAATATGTTGATAAGATCACGGATAGCAAATACAAGATAAAAGTTCTTCTGTTAATTTTTACTCTCAGTGTTTTCATCACCATTAATAATTTTAGAACACATAGTCAAATACAGTAAATAACTAGAATTTCCTTTTCATTGCTCTGGCATTTAATTGCATCTGGATCATTATGTTTAATATATATTTCTGTCTTTCAGTTGATTCCTCTTCTAGCTCAAACACATTTTTAACTGCCTCAATTATCCTGTGAAAATGAGTTCACCTGCTTATTTTTGTATGTAAAAAGTATGTTCTTTTATATTTACTGGATACACCTGCCATTCACCAAAATAATTGTTCTTACATCCTGTGAAAGGGGGATATAGTAATTCCTTTTTCAGTTCCTACATAATACTTGTTAACATTTACAATATTTCAGTTTCAAAACTGTCTGAAGTTTTGTAATCAATGTGTTGCCTCTCTACTTAGAACCACTCCATGCTTCTGATCACCACCTTTCTTTTGCCTTCTTACAAATCCTCTTTCTAAATTCCATGACCAGAACTACAGAGTGTAGTCAAAATGTGGATGCTGTAGTACTGAGTATTTTGTAATGTCATCAGATTTTTCACTTAATTATTCAAGTTTCTGATGAATACGTTAGCATGGGTCCGTACCAGAATTTATTAATAATCATCCTCCCTTGAGGAAACCAACCCATTTTTCTTATTCTTTTTTTCTTATCTTTCAGCCAGCAAACAAGGCAAAAGGGAGCACTTTTTGTTCCTAAAATTTCTATGAGCTTGTTCAGTATGGAATTCAAGATTTACTTGGCTGGAAGAACACATGAAGAGCAAAACAGCAAACAATATTACAACTTTGTGTTAATGAATGTTACATATAACATTGTGTAGGTGAAATTCTTATTCACCTTGTATATTTTTATAGCAGTAGTAAGGTATGTTGTATTTAATTTACAAATTATTCACTTATGATTCACTAATGTCAAATAACCAGCTTCACTGATGTCTTATAATTCTTAAAAAAAAAAAAAAGTAACCAAACTAGCTAACTTATCAAGGAATATTTCTTCTCTACTAAAACATATGAGTTTAGGTCTCTCAATTTTAAATTATTACAGTGGGTGGATGAAAGATCAAAAAGTAGGAGGTTTCACCAACTATAGCAAAGTATAACATTTTGTGTACTAAAATGACTTGCAATATAACGGAAGATGTTATTCTGATGCTGTTCTTCATACTATAGATTGGTATATCATTCTGTATAAGAGAGAAGACACAAATCATATAATGAAAAAGTTATAAATATGCACATTTTTACAAGCATTTTGATCATTTTTTTTCCCAATATTTGCATTTAATGAAGAATTATTTATAAGATGCAACAATATTGATTTTCTGAAGTCATAACTCTCTAAGCAGACTTTTTGTGCATCAAACTGGGCTCCTCTGTGCTTGAACTGATTCAGTTGAAAGTAAAGTCACTACTCAAAAAGAGATGTAGAGAAAATATTCCCAAAGGCTATATATATTATATATTCTCACACACTTACACAGACTGACCAGAGCAAATGTGGCCAGAAATATTTGTTTTGAAAACTCCAAATAGAATATCAGGGACTAATATGTATAGCAGTAGACCATATATATATATGCCAACCCAAACTGAAGACATTTGATAATTACCTTCCTGGTTTAAGACAAATGCAGTTCAGCCCTTTGAATCTTACTCTTATTCTGCAGTACAATTAAATACAGTAGGAAAATGGGATGGAAGCTAGGCAGGTGGATGGAAGAAAACTAACCGATGCCTAGGGTGTGCCACAGATTAACTGATTAAACATCCCAGTGGAACTCAGGAGTTTGTATTTCCCTCTCTGTGAATACCGCACATGGAATGCTAGCCCTGTGGGAAAGCACAAAATGAAAACATGGGATTCTCAAAAGAAAACTTACATCTTGTATGGAGTTTGTCATTAAATTTTCCTGCAATTAACTGTTCTTTATTTTTACTTGGGAGAATGGAGATGAGAGAGAAATCAAGAGGTATGGAACTCTGTCTAGAGTATGGAACTCTGTCTGGGGACAGCTGAGCAGTCCACAGAGAGTTTGTGGGTCAGGGTTAAAGGGAATATAGCTATGGGAGACATTACTGTGGGGATCTGTTACAGACCACCTGATCAAGGAGAACCTGAGGATGAAGCACTCCACAGACTGATAGGAAAAGCCTCACACTCACAGGCCCTTGTTCTCATGGGGGACTTCAACCACCCTGACATCTGTTGGAAGGACAGTACGGCCCGGCACAAGCAATCCAGGAGGTTCCTCGATTGTGTAGAAGACAACTTCCTTCTGCAAGTAACAGAGGAGCCAACAAGGAGAGGTGCCATGCTTGACCTCGTGCTCACCAACAGGGAAGGGCTCATTGGAAATGTGACGCTCCAGGGCAGCCTTGGATGCAGCAATGATGAGATGCTCGAATTTGAGATCCTCAGGAGAGCAAGAAGAGCGTGCAGCAAGCTCACTGCCCTGGACTTCAAAAGAACAGACTTTGGCCTCTTCAGGAACCTGCTTAGTAAGGTTCCATGGGATACAGCCCTAGAGGGCAGAGGGGGCCAAGTCTGTTGGTTGATATTCAAGGATCACCTGCTGCAAGCTCAGGAGTGTTGCATCCCAACCAGAAGGAAGTGCAGCAGGAGGGCCAGGAGACCTCCTTGGATGGATAAGGAGCTCCTGAGGAAAATTCAATTGAAAAAAGAGGCTTATAATAAGTGGAAGCAAGGACAGGTGGCATGGGAAGAGTACAGGGATGTCGTCCGGGAAGCTAGAGACCAGGTTAGGAAAGCTAAGGCCCAGTTAGAATTAAACTTGGCTAGAGGTATTAAAGATAACAGGAAGGGATTCTACAGGTACATAGCAAATAAAAAACAGACTAGGGAGAATGTAGGCCCCTTCAGGAAGATCTTGGGAGAACTGGCTACACAGGATTTGGAGAAGGCTGAGGTTCTGAATGACTTCTTTGCTTCAGTCTTCACTGCCAAAGGCTCTGACCACACCACCCAAGTCTTGAAAGGCAGATGCAGGGACTGTGAGAATGAAGACCTTGGGCCCACTGTAGGAGAGGAACTGGTTCGAGACCATCTTAAAAATCTGAATGTGCACAAGTCCATGGATCCTGATGAGATCCATCCACGGGTCCTGAAGGAGCTGGCAAATGAAGTTGCAAATCTGCTGGCAATCATATTTGAAAAATTGTGGCAGTCAGGTGAAGTTCCTGATGACTGGAAAAAGGGAAATATAACCCCCATTTTCAAGAAGGGGAAAATGGAAGACCCGGGGAATTACAGACCAGTCAGTCTCACCTCTGTGCCAGGCAAAATCTTGGAGCAGATTCTCCTGGATGGCATGCTAAGGCACATGAAAATCAACAAGGTGCTTGGTGACAGCCAGCATGGCTTCACTAAGGGGAAATCCTGCCTGACCAATTTGGTGGCCTTCTATGATGGGGCTACAGAACTGATGGACAGGGGTAGAGCAGTTGATGTCATCTACCTGGACTTGTGCAAAGCATTCGACACTGTCCCACACGACATCCTTGTCTCTAAATTGGAGAGACATCAATTTGATGGATAGACCACTCAGTGGATAAAGAACTGGCTGGATGGCCACACGCAAATAGTTGTGGTCAATGGCTCAATATCCGGCTGGAGACCAGTAATGAATGGCGTCCCTCAGGGATCGGTGTTGGGACCGGTCTTGTTCAACATCTTTGTCGCTGACATGGACAGTGGGATTGAGTGCACCCTCAGCAAGTTTGCTGATGACACCAAGCTGTGTGGTTCGGTTGATACGCTGGAGGGAAGGAATGCCTTCCAGAGGGACCTTGACATGCTTGTGAGGTGGGCTGATGCTGACCTCATGAAGTTTAACCATGACAAGTGCAAGGTCCTACACCTGGATCGGAGCAATCCCAGGCACACCTACAGGTTGGGCAGAGAAGAGATTCAGAGCAGCCCTGCAGAGAAGGACTTGGGGGTGTTGGTTGACGAGAAAGTGAACATGAGCTGGCAGTGTGCGCTTGCAGCCCAGAAAGCCAACCGTATCCTGGGCTGCATCAAAAGGAGCGTGACCAGCAGGTCGAAGGAGGTGATCCTGCCCCTCTACTCTGCCCTTGTGAGACCTCACCTGGAGTACTGTGTGCAGTTCTGGTGTCCTCAACATCAAAAGGACATGGAAGTGTTGGAACAAGTCCAGAGAAGGGCCATGAGAATGATCAGGGGACTGGAGCACCTCCCGTATGAAGACAGGCTGAGAAAGTTGGGGCTGTTCAGCCTGGAGAAGAGAAGGCTGCGTGGAGACCTCCTAGCAGCCTTCCACTATCTGAAGGGGCCCTTAAAGATGCTGGGCAGGGACTCTTCATTAGGGACTGTAGTGACAGGACAAGGGGTAATGAGTTAAAACTTAAACAGGGGAAGTTTAGATTGGATATAAGGAAGGAGTTCTTTACTGTAAGGGTGGTGAGGCACTGGAATGGGTTGCCCGGGGAAGTTGTGAATGCTCCATCCCTGGCAGTGTTCAAGGGCAGGTTGGATGAGGCCTTGGGTGATATGATTTAGCCTAAGGTGTCTCTGCCCATGGAAGGGGGGTTGGAACTACATGATCTCAAGGTCCTTTCCAACCCTAATGATTCTATGATTCTATGATTCTAGGTATGCTTGTGAAATAAAAGATGTATTTGTAAGTGATAGCATAAGGAAGAGTGAAGTCAATTAAATTCAGAAAAAGAGAGATTCTACAGCTTGTCACCAGAGATTTAGACTTAATGTTACTGTAAATATTTTGATATTACAATGTATGCAAATTTGACAGCAGTAATCTAGAGGCAGCATTTTGTGTAATATAGGGTGCTAATACCTAAGTTCTTTGAAAATATTACAATGAGATTTCATTGCAGTAATATTAAAGATTAATTTATGTAGCAATACTTTTCACTAGAGATGGAGATAATTGCCATATGGCTTTTTTGTAGAGGCTTATCAGGCATAACAGGAGAAGCAGGTGATAGGAGAAAGATAGGTTACACGAGCCATTTAGTGTAACCTCCTGTGATTTGCAATTTTGCACTCCCAAGACAAGGATACAAGAAGTATATAATTGAAATGTAAATAATAATTTCTTGGGGCCATATCATCTTGGGAGAGCAAGTGGGGGAAGAGCTGCAGCTAAACACTTTTTTTTCCATGCTCATGCTTGGATGAGGGTCCCTTCCACTTGCTAAAAGAAATTCTGAGGGTGTTTGTATGTAGCTGATGGATCAGAGCTGCTCCATCTGTGACTCCTGCGTGTATCTGTTAAGCAAAAAACATACCAAGATCCTTTTGCCCAATAAATATGCTGTAATCAGAAAAAAAGGAATGATCTCTAACATTATCAAATGAGAAACTCACCTTTGGTAACGTTAGTGCTAATTTACACAGTGGAGACTGGTGTTGATATTCACCATACAGCAAGGGTTGTTCCCAATTCTTGGTTATCATCTCTCTGGTAATTTTATAAAACACTGCTGTTCCTTTGTAATGAGGTGAACTGTGGTTACCAAATTCATTCACTTCTTTAATATGGAGTTCCAGCCTGGGTTTTCTTTGTGAATGAAAGATCAGCCTGTAGACTTTTCCAAAATCTTTTCCATTCTCTGCAGTCCATACAAAGATTAAAAAAAGGTAAGCATACACTGTATTTAACGTGTGGCATCTAAAATAATTCATTAGGGAGAGTCAAATAGAGCTAATCACATAACATTTGATTGTTCTTTATCATTATTACTTTATATTAAACTTTCAAAGTTCAAACATTCCTGCCTGCCTGCTTCAGTAGCTGAAATGTCTTCATGGTGAGCTCTCTTAGCCCTGAGTTGTTGGCATAAGGAATAAGTGGTGAAGGCTGTGCTACAAGCTGAAAAGTAAGGAACACAGAAGGAGAAAAAGTACATAACACAGAGATAAAAAAAAAACAAAAACAAAATGGTGTTGTGAATGGAATTAGAAGTATATGTTTTCTGGTTAGTCAGGATGGAAATCTATCTGTAACAACAAAATGAATGTAGGCAGAGAAGTTGGTGCATTTTTAGGATTTGTAATTCCATTTTAATTGATACACCTATATACACTACCCTTTCCATATATGGCATTCACTGGGGGCTGAAGATTTCTCTTTTTGAACAATAATTTTTTTTTTTAGAGTAAATGGAGTTCTGAATGGGAGAGTTTATGTATAAAATGTTCAGAGGAAAAAATATATATTTACTATATATTATATACATTTATTATATATTATATACATTTCCAAAACTGTCAGAAAAGACTAGACATAATTTCAGGTGAAAACTTTTCTGAGGCTTCTTATCTCTTTTGCCTTTACGCAAATCTCTGAATGTCAAAGAGTCAGCCACTGCATGGAATTTTTGAGGCTGCTAATCGAAACAGCATAAAAACTCTAATCACCTCAATTCATAGCTCAACTCACAAAAAGCAACATTTTCCCCTAGATTTAAATCTTTAATCTCACTCATTTTAAGTGAATTTGCACAGATGAAATAGCAGTCTTGTTTCTTTTTGTTAGGAATCTGTTTAATTCCTATCATATATTCTTTAATTTAATTTAACAAGCCATTGGTGGAATCCTGTCCTTTTGTAATAAAATGCTAGCTGTTTACAAGGGACCAGGTTTTGCAGAATGGCAGAGGTTGGAAGAGATCTCTGAAGATACCTTGTCCAACCCCTCTGCTCAAAGCAGGGTCACCTAAAGCAGGTTGCTCAAGATCTTGTTAAACTAGTATTTTTCAGTCAGAGTAGTTTCCCATGTAGTTCCATGAGCCTGTTGTTTACAAGAAATAAAACACTGAAATAGATACATGTGCTGTGACAACCACAATCTACTCTTGTATTCAGTATTTCTGAATAGTTGAGGTGATTGATAATGTTCATGCAGATGCATGAATTAATTACTTTACCTGAAGCAAAAATATTTCCACTAAATCTAAAATGAATCTGATCTCCTTCTTTTAGTGGGAACTGCTGCGTAGGTTCTGGGGGACCAAAATAGCCCTCCTCATGAAGATTTTGAAGTTCACAGGTCAATTCTTTGGATGCAGATAGCAAAACTACTATTTTGCATGGGTTTTCTCGTTTCCGATACAGAATCACATTAGCCATTGTATTACAAACAGCTTCTTCCAGAGCCTGAGCAAAGAGGAGGAGATACGTGTTTTCCAAGAGGAATGAAAGGCGAATGACCACAAAGCTGTATTAAAAAAAAAAAAAAAAGGCAAGAAAATAAATAAATAGCTCTATCTTAAATCATTTTATCAACTGCTAACAATTTATTATGCAAAATAATATAGTTTTCAATGGACCCTTTGCTACCTCTTTTTCATTCTTGTTTCCAACAAGTGAAAGGGTGGTAATTTGCCTGCTTCTGTAGTGTAGAGTATATTGACTCTATGAATTTAAATACATATGAATTTTAGATGAAAGCAAGATAAAATTTCCTAATAAGAAATTAAAAAAAATAATGCGGTTTTGTAGTTTGAGCGCTAACTCACATTTTCAAATTAATATCTGCATTTCCTGTTTCAAGTTTTGTATATATTACAACGTGTACTGTCTACAGATGAAAAAAGTTTTTAAAAAATATATGTGTTCTGTAATTATGAGTTACAAATCTAAATGATCTCATGCTGCAAAGTGGAAGAAAAAGATACTGGTAAGTTAATAATGAGTATTGGATGATTTCTTAACTCTACTGATTTCCACTGATCTATATACTTAGAAGTAAATATTTTAGCAAATGAAACTTTATTACATTATTCATACCTTACCTTTCTAAATGCTCATTTAGTTCAAATGATACAAGCCCATTCTGTGCATTCTGGATAATAACATCAGCAAACACCTTCCACCCCTCTTCTTTGTTTCTGTATCCTAATAATTTCAAAGTATCACTGAGATTCTCTCCACTTTTTCTCACAGAAGCGCTCACAGTCCTGGAAAGCCAAGGGGTTGCATGAAAAAATATAATGAAAAATGGATCATGCAGAAAGAATAAGCTTGTATTTGTAGCTCTGCTTTCTCTTCTGTTTTCCTTGATGACTACATGTGTTTTTTCCCACTTTGCTGAAAATCTGCACTCCAGATGATGTAAGTGATGGAACAATACTTTCGAGTATATAAATTATATCATTGTTAAGAGACTTTTTTTCTCAATTTTCTAAAAGAGGAAAAACGAAAACAGAATTCTTCTGTCTAAATTAATATAGTTTAGTCTATCATTTAATATCATGCACAGTAATGATTACAGATTGGATTTGAGTAATCCATCAAGATTCAGATTCTCTAGAAGCAGATATCTAAAAACAAACAATCAAACAAAACCACCTTTTCTTCCAGAAACAAATATTACTCAATAACCACAAAGGAATTTAGATAATAGCATGACTGCTATCCATTATCTCTTTCAACAGAGAAAACAAAAGTAGCTTCTCTTCAAATCAGGTGATTACACTGGTATCACAGTCAGAATGAAGCAACTGCAATATGACATGCTTAGGCTAATTTATTCTAATGAATGAAATGTAAGGAGTTTTTTACAGAAGCCCAGAACTCTCCTCTCACACACACCTCTCTATCAATACTTACACTGGATGTGAATAAACCTTCCACCCCAAATGCACATCCCATACACAATCCAAAGAAGAAAATACTCCAGACAGGACAGCCTAAGCATTTCTCAAGCATACTGCCTCAGCCTACGTGCAAATACAGGAAAATATTGGCATAATTTTCTATGGAGTTTTTATAGAAATAAGCAATCAAGCCATGGTCTTTTTATGGATGTGTTTTGACTGAAAATCTGAAATGCATTTAGACTAGTATTAAGAACAGAGAGATGTCATGGAGGTACTACCAGAAATGCTTCTGGTACAGGAAATGGAATTTGAATCTCCCTTAAAGTGACATGGGCACCCTTCCTAAATCTGAATTTTGTGATCAAGGTGGATATCTGGTCTAAGAAACCAGTGTGAGTTAGAGCTACCTAAAACATGATCAGAGGAGTTTTTTGGAATTGGGAAGCTAGAATATTGTCTGCGTTCTCCATCTGTATTTTGCTTATTTTCAAGACCATCATAATCTTGGCACATAGATGAATTTTGAAAAAAATATGGTTTAGCATACTAGGAATAAGCTAACTCTTTAATGACTTAAAGTAGAAGTATTACAAAGCTGACTCTTGTCTTAGACTAGTCCCTACCAAGAAGTCCCAGCCAGCCTTTCTGAACCTGGAGCTGCCCATAGTAGCAGAACTACAAGGACGACAATCAAATGGTAAGTTTGGATTGGCTTTTTTTTTTCCTGCATGTGATGATAAAATCACTTTTCTTTCTTTTTTTTTTTTTTTCCTGACTGTCAAAGTAGATTAGATCAGCTTTTGGCTGTTTTCTGTCATAACTTGTGATTCAGGTAGCCATCGGGATATGTGGAAGTAGAGATCAGAAAATTCAAAGGCAGGGTAGCCAAACCACCAGCTGGTAAAATAATGATCACACCAGTTTTGGGATGTGATTATTCTCTATGTTTTGTGTTAGGCTTTAGTGAAAACTGATGAACATTTCTTGCTGTAAAAAAAAGCCATGCATTTTTAATCCTGGCTCCTGCTAGAAATATAGTAGTCAGCATATTTACATCAATTATCAATTATACATCAAATGCTATATGAATTTTCCTGGTAAAGCTATAGCATGAGAAATGTGGGGATTTGCTGTAGTGTTTCTAACAATGTTTCTATGTATAGCAGACTGTATTAAGGAACTAACACATTTTTAACACAAAAATTATTAATCAGCAACTGTTAAAAAAAATTTGTTTTGGTGTTTTGAAAATGCTGAGCTTGTAGTGAAGTTGTTCTTACCGAGGATGGTATGCTGTAGCAACCCTCTTTACTGTAGCACTAATGGCTCTCACATGTTCTGTCTTGTCTCCTTGCCTCTTTTTTTCTGGGTTTGGAGGACAGGGAAGAGTAATAGTGACTGAGCTGTTAAATGGCTGGACTGAAGGATGCTGGAAATAAACCAGTGCACTAGTAGCTACCACTGAGCGGTACATATCATGTCTTGCTTTCAATGTCGAAATCAATGATGACTCAATTGGCTGAATCTAAATATGGAAAGCAATTATACAGTTAATTTGTAAATTAATAAAACTTCTCTTACATGTGCAGTTTTTGTTTTTACAAACTTTTTTATCTTTTGGAGATGGATCAGACTACCACAGCAGCCTTAGGCTCCTCTCTATAACCCAGGAAAAACCCTACCAAAGTATCAGCACTTTACAAAATGCACAATAAAGTTCTTGAAAGTCATAAAAACCTGGAATCTTTACTGACTATTTTGACTGGTTTGCTCCTGATTTTAACTCAAGTTTTGAAACTTCTTAGCTCCCTCGGATTTTTAAAAGTTTCTGAGATTTTTCAAATCTGTATATTTTTCCCTGTTAATTTTACATTCTCTGTACCTCAGACACAATGTTTTTATGGGGGTAGAAACACATTATAATTGAAGCAAATTTCAAGGTTATTCTCCGCCTAAGAGGTGACAAAACCTTCTGTTGCACTGGCTGGTACAAATGATGAAGGTCAGGTGAGAAAAATTGTCCAATTAACTTGAACTCTGGGCCAAACAGTTGAAGTTTGGAGTTGATTCTCACGTCACTATTGAAAACAACTGTGTTTTCTGAAGTATTTTAAACAAAGGTTCTTTTTAGCTAGAGATATCATTGACTACTGACAAAATGATGTGGGTTTAACGAAGGTGGCAGGAAACCATTCACTGTGTATACAGGATGTGGAGTGGTAGCTATTTTTCACAGACCTCTAGTGATGGAACAGGTTGGTCTTTAACATTATCGGCATCCTTGCTTCAGAGCTGATCAGATAACAGACTTACAGAACAAGTACTGCACTTTTCAAGCTCACCTTTAACTGCATGGGTGCTGGAGAACTGAATGTTTCTGGATGGTAACAGAAAGAGATTCTAGAATCCACATTCAGCTTTTGTGAGAGTCCCTCCTTTGGAACAGTAAATGTTTCTTTCTTTAAGCATGACAACACAGAAAAAACACCCAGCTGATAAATTTTCACTTCCGCAAAGGTTTCCTGCATAAAGAGAATGTGGGGTTAAGAGTATACTGGAAGGAAAGGAAACTGTGTTCCACAGTGGATAAGGCAACATTATTTATAGAACAAGGTGTGAAATAAAAATAAATTGAATATTATTGCCACCTGGATACCCAGTTATCTGGTGAGCTCTAGTCATCATGTAATGTCATTAATATTCCATATTGGGGTGAAATGAAATAAGCTTATAAACTGGGTGATGAATCTGGCCCAATCCAATTCTTCTGCATTTAAAAAAAAGAACCATCCTGTGCTTCTTTGAGATGGAATTTGGATTAATACACAGAAAATGTCATTACTTCTCTGCGATCTTAATGTAAAATAATTCCCCTTAAGTTTTTACTTTTATAAAATAATGCAATGTATTATTCACAAAAAATCATGAACCATTACTCAATCATTATTATTGTGTGATCAAGCACTTCTGTTAACACTAAGAGTGAAAAAAAGGACCTTGTTAAATACTAGTTTTCAAATAGAATTAGTTCTTGAGCAAGTAGGAAGAAAAGGTCAATTTAAGTGCCCCCATAGTGGGCAATATGGCTTAATAATGACAACTTGTTGACTCCACAGAAGCTTAACTGGGAACCTGGAATGATGTTTTAACAATGCTTAGATGAGATGTTACCAACCTTATGTTTTTCTTGATATCTCTCCAAAGAAACAGGAGTTAAGTAGTTTGACTGAAAGTTCACATCAGTCACCTTCACCATAATCTCCCGATAATTTCCTCTGAAGCATGAAGTAAATGGGATTGCAACGTTTATAGGGAAAGAGATTTTCTCATAATCACAGCATTCAACACTGATGACATTGCTGACCAGCTCCTCAGAATCATCCACCACCAAGGAACTAGTATCATTGACTATCTTACACTTCAGATTCTCCAGAGCAGTTGCAGGGGCTTTAATAAAACAAGCTACTACATGTTTGTTCGTTCCACTCTCTTCCACAAGAAATCTGGAGAAAAAGAATATAAAATATTATTCTTTGTATTTTGGGTGGGGTGGTGTATTTTTAATTAAATATTTTACAATAATGATGTGCTACATTATAGCATAAGCAGATCATTCATAAAAATGTTTATGAATAGATGGGAAAATCATGAAAATTTTAATGTTCATCTTGTTGCAAAACAGCTAACAAATTATAAAAATTAGTAAGTAGGGGCCTTCTTATGAATTTCCAGCAATTTGGGAATTACTGACTTTACTGGCTGTGACTCAGTTCCTTTCTGACATGAAAAAAAAAAGCAATCAAATAGAAACTTACAGTTTACTTTAGACCAAATGGAATATCTTATTTGTGCATGCTTAAGTTATAAATTGCTATTATGTGCAAAGCCAGTAGCTGCTCAATACATGCATATTGAGTCTCTTGGCCCACCAGTGTTTATACATGTGCTAAGTAATATTATGCACATTCATTTTGCGAAGAATATGTGCTTACTCTTTGCTCATCCAGTGCCTGGATTTTTGTATTTCTGAATCACTCATGGAAGGATTCACAGCAGTAAGATTACATGTTTGTGTTGAAGATGTGAAGTTAATTGGGTCATTTCTACAAATCTCATTATTTGTTTCAGTTTTACTGTCTTCCATTTGCTCTGTCAGTCTATGTTCTCCATTTTTGATCCCTTTTGAAGTTTCTTTGACTATTGCCTTTTTTTTCTGTTCAAAAAGATTCGCGGCAGTTTCGTCATAACTGTCTTTCAGTGTCCCAGATAGCATGCCTTCTGAACTGCTTATAAGAAGAGCATCTTGAAAAGCCTGTTCTGGAGACTTTTCAGTAACAGCACTACCTCCATGAGGTTTATCCTTTTCATTGAAATCTTTTTTCTCTGTAAGAGATTTCTTTAGTAATCTGTGTTCACCATCTTCCTTTTTCATTGGAGGTTCTCCGCTAATATCCTGTTCTTGAGCAGATATACTTTCAGCTAATGATGGAACATATTTTCCCACAGTTTTAGTTTCCCTTGGCTGGGTTTTATTAAGATTCTGACTTTCCGTCTCATTCAGGGAAGATCTTCGTGATTGCTGATTGGGACTAGAAGATGCTTGCACAGACTCTATTGCTTTACCTTCAGAACAACACACATTTGTTTCTCTAGAAGCATTTTGAACATTCTGGATCTGAGAAACATAATCTTGTTTGCAGCTAGCAGCATAAAGTTTATTTTCTGCTTCTTGGAGGTGTGAGACTGTATTTATTAAACAAACCTTCATGTTCTGCATACAATCCATAATTCGATTGTACTCTGAAGAAAGAATAGGTATCCAATTAAATTCTGTCATGAAAACTAGCCAAAACCATGACAACTTACACACGTACGTAATGAATTGCACTTAATTCCATAGTGCCATTCAATACATGAAGCACAATATATTTCTTGACTTCCATTTAATATTTTCTGCATTTACTGCTATTTGAGTCAATTTCTGAGGAATTAAATATGGACATGTGTCGTGGTTTAAACCCAGTCAGGTAATTCGTTCGCTCACTTCCCCCCCCTTTCTTGCCCTCCCCCTGCTCTCGGAGGGACGGAGAGGAGAATCAAAAGAATGCAACTCCCACGGGTTGAGATAAGAACAGTTTAGTAACTAAGGTATAACACAAATCACTACTGCTACCACCAATGATAATAATGATAAAGGAAATAACAAGGGAACAGAACACAACACCTCACCACCCGCTGACCGATAACTCGTCCCCCAAGCCCGACCAAGCTCCGACCGATACCTCCTCCAACCCTGCAGTCTCCCAGCCCTTCCGGCTAACTCCCAGTTACATCCTGGGCATGACGTGCTGTGGTATGGAATAGCTCTTTGGTCAGTTTGGGTCAGGTGTCCTGTCTCTGCTTCCTCCTGGCTTCCCCTCCTCCCTGGCAGAGCATGAGGCTCACAAAGTCCTTGGCCAAACCAAAACATCCTTGTTATCAGCTCTGTTCCCGAGCGGAAAGTCAAAACACTGCACTGCACCAGCTACCAAGGAGGAGAAACATGACTGCTACTGCTGAACCCAGGACATTATCCACCCCTTATTCCATACCATTCACGTCATGCTCAGATCCCACATTTTCAATATACCATCACTCTTATCTCGGTGCACTCTTATCTTAGTGCATGGACCAGTCCCTATAAAGCTGCTGCATCCATCTGGTCCATGTCAGGCTCCATCTCTTGTAACAGTCTTCCAGAGCAGGAGAGACTGTGTGCAGTGTTCACACTTGTGAATAACCTGGGCAATAGTGTCCATTGTTAAGTCCACCCCTCGATCATGAGTCCATCTCTGTGTTGCATCTCTGCTCTGATGGCCTGAAGTGCCATGGGCCCACCAGGCTTAAAATAATTCACTGTCCCCTTAAGCAGTTTCTGCAGCTTGTTGCTGGGGACTCCATACAGCTGCCTTCCATCTCCGACGCTTCCAAAGCACTGGAGGGGCCCAGTGGACTAGATACTTGCCCATACTGTCCCACACACCCTGCCACTCATGACTCTCCAGCCTTGGGGAAAATCTCTTGGTCCCCCTATATTGTTGTCTAACCCCAGACAAGACCCAAACCTGACTCTGCTTAACTTTTGAGATCAGACAAAATGGTTGTGGGTAGAACACAGCCTGTGTGTGTGCCAACATGCTGATCCCCATCACAATCAGCAGGCAGGTCCCAGGGATACCCAAAGGCCATTCAGAGCCTTCAGAACTCTCAAACGATGCTGCAGTACTTGTCACTGGGGCTGGTGTAGCTGCTGTGCTTGCCGGCTCTCCCACCACCGGCTTCTCTTTTCCTGAGTCCAGCTCTTCCTCCTCTGCCTTGCTGGGAAGTGCTGCGTGGTCTCCTGCATCCTCCTGGGGCTCGGCGGGTGGCTGCCGGGGAATGCTCTCGGCCGTCGCGGGGCTGGGCTCCTCCGCGGGGCTGGGCTCCTCCGCGGGGCTCGGCTCCTCCGCGGGGCTCGGCTCTTCCGCGGGGCTCGGCTCCTCCGCCGCCTTCTCCCGCTGCTCGGCAGCCGCTTCCTTCTGCTCCTCGACCGCCCCGGCCTCCTCCACCGGCAGCCGTCCCCTCGCGGCCTCCGGCCCCGCTCCCGCCGCCGCTTGGTGCCCGGGGCCGCTCTCCCGGGCCGCTTCAGCAGCCGCCGGCTCCCGGGACCGCTCCCCCTCAGTTCCCCGCAGCCTCACGAAGATGGAGAGTAGGGCGAGGGCCAGGACGGTGAAGGGCAGCCGGACGGCCAGGTACAAGTCCACGGCCACGTCCGTCCCGCCCTGCTGCTGGAGCCCGCCCGTATTACAAGCCATTGCCATAAAGCACAGTGAGACAAGAACCTTAGCCCAGGCCCCACACTTGATAAACACTAACACAGCGAATACCGGCTCTACGTAAGTTACAACGGTCTGAAGCTGTGAGATCAAGAAGAACAACTCTGATACCCAATAAATCACCATTGTGACGAATGACTATTAATCCAGTCAAATCTGTCGTTATCTCAACCCTTCGTGCCCCACGTTGGGCGTCAAAAAGAACTGTCGTGGTTTAAACCCAGTCAGGTAATTCGTTCGCTCACTTCCCCCGCTTTCTTGCCCTCCCCCTGCTCTCGGAGGGACGGAGAGGAGAATCAAAAGAATGCAACTCCCACGGGTTGAGATAAGAACAGTTTAGTAACTAAGGTATAACACAGATCACTACTGCTACCACCAATGATAATAATGATAAAGGAAATAACAAGGGAACAGAATACAACACCTCACCACCCGCTGACCAATAACTCGCCCTCCAAGCCCGACCAAGCTCCGACCGATACCTCCTCCAACCCTGCAGTCTCCCAGTCCTTCCGGCTAACTCCCAGTTACATCCTGGGCATGACGTGCTGTGGTATGGAATAGCTCTTTGGTCAGTCTGGGTCAAGTGTCCTGTCTCTGCTTCCTCCTGGCTTCGCCTCCTCCCTGGCAGCGCATGAGGCTCACAAAGTCCTTGGCCAAACCAAAACATCATTGTTATCAGCTCTGTTCCCGAGCCGAAAGTCAAAACACTGCACTGCACCAGCTAACAAGGAGGAGAAACATGACTGCTACTGCTGAACCCAGGACAACATGTACATTTATGTACCTGTCCATTACATCTGTGTATTCGGCTGTACCACTGAGGGACCTCTAATGAACACCTTTCTAATGATTAGAAAATAGCTATATTTTTAATGGCAATCAATCCAAAGTATGAAATTAATAAAAAATAGTAAAATCAATTTGTAAAGTGCTTTGAAACTGAACATTAATTATACACATTTTCTAAAATGTAATCCTGCAAGATTCTAATGTATGGGTCTCCAACAATGCTGGGCTCAATATCAAACATGCTTAGCAGCTTTGAATTAAGTTTTGCTATGGAGAATAAAAGATAACGCAAAATCATGATACAATACTGAAGTTCAGCAGTTTCTAGAATTCAGTTACAGGAATGGCAGAGGTTGCTCGTGCATTTAACTAAAATTACTCGCTGAAGAAGGATGCACAAAAAGCATGCAATCATTATGTGCCACTCATGTAAGATTTTCCCTTTAACCTATTTATTTTCTGATCCCTCATTTTTCTTGTCTTACACCTTTTTTTTTTAGAAATCCTTCCAGATACTTTCGCCAAGGATTTCAGATATATTACTTCCAGTTCTCCCCTCACCTTATGCTGTCACTCTCTATAACTAGAACTGTCTTCATTAGTCAGGTATATTGCAAACTTGTCAGGAAATTTCTTGCTTATTTCTGTTTGTTGCATGAGATCTTGGAAAGCTTTGCTTTGGAGGTTAAATCCAGTAAAAGTCAATACAAATAAGAAAATTAAAACACAGTATGGTGTGTTTTCCACTTATAATGGACAGGGACCCACAAGGGAAGGCAACAAAAAGGGCTGTTACAAGTCTTATGGGAAACCACTGGCTTACATTCACTTTTTTCAATAATGTCTTATGAGGTAAATCAGTATCTCAAGGTTTTCAGCTTGGAAAATAACTTTATTGAGTAAGAATGTCATCACACATCAATGTGTGATGTTATATGATGTGGATGGATAGGTTTTTCACTCTCTATTTGCATCTGATTAATTTAAACCTACAAAGAGTGTAGTTCACAAGTTTTTTTCTTGTTGAACTTAGTCTGAAAATTATTCTTTTGCAATACTTTCTCAGGTCCCAAATGACTTGTTATTGAATTTTGACTATATCTGGGGGAAAAAAAATAAATGAAAAGCAAACACATTTTAATTTAATTTTTCTATTGGTAGTTTAAAGAAAGATATAATTTTGCTCTAAGGTACTGCTGTTTTTCCAGGGGCACTTTTAAAATAGTGAAGGAGAACTTCTAAATAGTTTAACAGAGCTGACATATAAAGCAAAAGGATTAGAAATAATATAGGTTCATTATCATAAGAGGTTTTAAAAGACCACTTTCCAGTCTCACTGCAAGGCAAATGTCAAGCTTTGGCAAACCCACCAAAATTAACCTGCTTCCTCCCTGAATTTTGCATTCTCTAAACAAAACAAAGACTCAAACAAAACCAAAACGAATTGTACAGCTCTTTAACCTTCGCTGAAATAAAATTTGAAGTTAACAGGGTCATTCAAAGCAATGGCATTTTTCTATGCCGTGAATGTGACTTTTCTAACACTGCAGTGCTTGAAGCCAAGCAAAGACATGGCCTTTTAACTTTACACTGCCCAACTGTGTCACATGAAAAGACAGTTTTTGCATTCTGTTACAAGTTTCACCTCAAAATAAGCCTTCTTTTGTGTTACCCCCTGGCACCATAGCTTTTCTAACACTTTGCTTTCTGTGCTTTTTTGATGTTTAATAAAACAGCTTTAGAATACAGTGGCAGTTTACATGCAAATGTCTTCAAACCATTTTGCTGACTGTATTATGGGACAGTGTCAGTTAAGTAAAAGGTGCTTTTTGGAAGGCAAACGATAGTGAACTCTTTGAAATTAAAAGAAATGGAAAAAATAAAATCACATATGGCATGAGGCCAACAGGGCAAAGTTAGCTTGATCTTGAAGCCTCAAAGGAGGTCCTTTTTATACAAAAATTATTGGTTTACTATTGCAGACACTTTTTAAATCTGCAGAACAAAGACTCATAAACACAGGCATAGCTAAGGATTTCTGCCTGGAGTCTCTGTCTATGCATCATATTGTTAGACCATTATTAAAGGGAGAAATGTTAGTTTTCTGCTTTGATGAATGTTTGTTAAGTTGTTGTTTCCAAGGAAAGACAGTTGTTCAGATGTGGTCCTTACAATAAATAACACCATTGTTATATCCACACAAGAAATTAAATTCCATGTGTTTACCTGTGCACTAAGATGGCAGAAGTCTTTTCTTATTTTTAGTGTAATTTGTTTAGCTATGTTGTTATTTGTAGAGGAACATAGACTATATATATTGAGTTTACTTGACAAGGGGCTCCAGGGCAGCCTCTGTGATGCGAGGCCAGGGCTGCACCATGCCACACAGATGGTTCCATCAGTCTCCACAGCAGATCTGCTGCAGGACTGAGCCGAGCCTCCCAGCAAAGCTGGTGCTGCCTCTGTGAAAAGAGTTTTAAGAAAGGGCAAAATCACCAGAGAACAGTGAGGAATGAAGTATGAGAAACAGCCCTGTGAACACCAGGGTTGGAGAAGAAGGGTGTCCCATGCACGGAGCAGAGATTCCCCTGCAACCCATGGGGAAGACCATAGTAAAGTAGCTTGTCCCTGCAGCCCATGGAAAGGACAGTATTGGAGCGAGTATCCTCTCTGCAGCCTCTCCTCTACAGGACCCCACACCAGAGCAGGTGGATATCCCCTGAAGAAATTGCAGCCTTTGGAGAGTCCAGCTTTTCCTGACAGAAACTGTGGGCTACGGGAAGGACCCTCAGTGGAACATGTAAAAGTGTGAGGAGGAAAGAGCAGCAGAAGGGAACTGTTACGGATTTACTGCAACCTCTTGGCCATCCCCCTGCAATTCTGAGGAGGAGGAGGAGTGAGAGGAGCTGGGAATGAAGGAGTGAAGGTGAGCCTGGAAAAAAATGAGGGGTGATGGAAAAGTGTTTGAATTTTTTGCTTTTGTTTTTCAATATCTAAACCAGTTTCAATTGTCAATAAATTAAACTATTTTTTTCCCCTAAATTAAGTTCATTTTTCCCATGATGCTGAGTGATTTCCCTGTCTTTATATTGACTCATGAGCTTTTCCATCTTCTTTTCTCCCCCTGTCCTGTTGAGGAGGGGTAGTAAATTGTTGGGTGGGTGTCTGTCCAAGATAAACCTATGAAAGTATAATATATATAAAACTTTGACACAATTCTGCTTAGTCTGTTGGTTTGGTTTGGGTTTTTTTTCTTCACATAATGAAAATTATAATCTCATATTGAAGCTCATGTAATAGTCTTGAAACCAGTGCAATACAACTGTTCAAATAAGAATTAATTTGGTCTAATGAATGACCAAGTACTGAAATGCTAACAGTTGAAAAGCAAGGTCCTAAAGCATCATCACACGGTGGAACTTAGCAAGCAGCATACCCAGTCTGCTCTGATTACAGGTTAGGTCCCTTCATACTTGCCTGGACTTGCAGTCAATTCTTTGTATTTGTCATGGAGAGCACTCAACAAGTGGTAGGTGTCTTGAATACTTTCGACGACATTCTCCAGCTGCTGGCTGAGAGATCTGCTCAGGTCTTTTGTTAAAGAGATCAGTGTAACCACATGCTGCACTGTACCTTCATTATCCAGATCACTTTTCAGAAGCGCATCACTTGCTAGCAAGTTGAGGTGCCAGATTTTTTCCAGGAGTTGGCCTGATTTGCCTGCAGGAATAATCTTGCCTTCAGTCATTTCCATTTTATGTTCAGAATATACTACTGCAGTTCTTTTTTCTGCTCAAACACTTCCACAAGTTGCTGCCCTTAGTTTAGACTACTACACTGTTAGTGTTTGTAGCCTAACAGCGTAAGTACTGTATTCCATGTACACTTGGTGACAAGTCAAACTCTAGCTCAGAAACTCTCAGTTAATGTTGACTATTAAAAAGTTACTAGGTGACAGAAAGGAGTGGCTGTCCTGTAAGGACGGGCAAGGGTTGCTGGGAGACACTGGTGTACACCATGTACCTTTAAGGAAGGTTATGTAACTTGGTTATGTAACAGTGACTTAAATTTCAGGAGCACTGAGTGATTTCTCACTTCAGTGGCTGTAAATGATCAGTACCTATGAAATCAAGATGAATTGTGAATTCGGAATTACTATAGTCCCCACCAACAAGGAAGTGTTTTCACTACAAGCTAACATTAAAGGCTATAGGTCACTTGATACCATTTTCTGACAACCATATTTCATTAGATGAGACAAGTCCAATGTACTGTGCAGCCTGGATGAGGTATTTGAACTATACATAGTTTTCACCAATATAAGAATCTACACATCAAATTTTGTCATTATCAAAAATATTTATTAGCAATACACATTTGGAGGAACTTGAAATGTTTTCTGGGGTTTATTTATACAATGGGAAGAAACAGAAAGGAAAACCAGTAACAGCTAAAAGTTCAAATGAATAATGACTGAAATTTCATCTGACACTTTGGAAACTGAGAAACAAATTTAAGAGAAAAACATTAAATGTAATTGAGGCATTAAGAATTGACTATACGGCGTTCACAGGGAAAAAGCACCAACCTCAAGAGTACCCTCATAATAGTGGGCAGCACTGCTTTCACATGGTCTCACAACCATGTGCTCCTGCAGGCAACCGGGGAGGAATCAGGGAGAGTGTCTGACAGGGCTGCTGTGCCGTTTGTTGTCTTCAGTGCATGAAGTTTGATCACCTCAATGGTAGCATTTGCAGTGATTTCCATTTCACCTGGCAAGCTCAGGAAAAGAAGTCTCACCAGGACAGCAGTAAAAACATGCAGAAGAATAGCACTGACATTTTCTTAACTGATGCTAGTTCACATCATGCTGTGCTAGGGGAAGACAGGCCTGACACCCTCAGTAGCAGAGTTCAGTACTGGGGTAAATCTTAAGTATCACATAAGCCAAAATTTTTACAGTTTAAGAAATGTACTATACAAATTGTTGGTACAGCAGCTTTCCTACTAAACATTCCTTTTGTGGCCCATTATAAATATAGTCAATGCATCTTTAAATAGCAATTAAAATCGGATTGTGATATAAAAGCACACTGAAAATTGCATCTAAGCATTGCAAGAACTAATAAGGTAATGTCAGCAGAGTGCTTTGAATACGTAAAGCACAGTACAAATGTTAAAATAACAACGAAAGTGTCTTTAATCAAACATATGAGCTGAAACCAATTGTAACTATTAAACTCAAAAGGAAAGTTCCTTTTGATTCATTATAGTTTGCTTGATCATGCTGAAAGTGTACTGCAGAGTTGACATAAAAATGTATGTGAATCATTAACCTATTTATCATTTGTAATGGTCCAGCATCTCCATATTTTCCAACTTATTCCTAGTAAAAACGGAACTCTGAAAAGAATAATCACTTTCATGTACAGGAAGTGAAAAATGTCATCTTCCTACCCCAAATTTTTGGGATGTGTAAGTGAAAAAAAACCCAACAAGAAGGCAGGCAAAAATGCATTATTGTACGTTTACAGTCTAGTATTGCATAGACCAATTACTCGGTGTGAATCCATATTGTTTCCCTAACCATAGTATAGCTGGATTCATCAGCTCCACATCTTTTCCAAAATATGTGTCTGCCTAGAGTACTTCAGATTAAATCAAATAGTGATATGCAGATGTGAGTCACAAAAAAAGATATTAACTTGAATAAAGGTAAAAGATCTGATTTTTAAATAGTAACCTCTGTGTGTAAAATAGATAATAATGAATGGACCTGATAACAGACTTGCTGTTCATTCAACGTTGTAGAGGTTATGAGAAACTACTACAACACACTATTATAGACACAGTTTTAGAAGATATGACAAGAACTGATCTATATTCATTCTTTGTCATAAGCAAGACATATACAACATTCTTTGCCATAAGCAAACTGTTTTTGTTTTGTTGTTTTTTTTTTGTCAAAAATTATATATATAACTCCTGCTTCAGGTAATACATGCTATACCTGTAGAAATTGTCTATGCATATTCAAAAGAAGACAGTAGTTAGTCTAAAAAATACATTTGTCTAAAATATATGCTATAGGATAAGAGAAATTATTCTGATTTTCTAATGGGTAGCTGAAAAAATTTCAAGCCTTAGAGATAAAAGTAACTATACTTGTCTTCTTTGGACACATGAATGAAGCATGCAAAAACCCCGAGATTTTGTAAATGCATGCAATACTACATGGTATATGTGTCGGCAATTATAGTGTGATCTGTATAATAATTTATTGTCGAGACAGGTAAGGTACATTCTTACTGAAACAGTTACTACACAAGCACTGGTATTAGAAGACATTTAAATTTTAAACACATGATTATATTCAGATATTATGATGGAAAATAAGTCAGTTATAGCCACTTAAGTGACAGTTTTTACTCTTCAGCAGTACTAAAGAGAATGTATATTTAGGTTGTCTGATCAACATTTGTAGGTCTTTAAATTCAACTATTCATATAGCAAAGTCTCAGTTAAATAAAAATAAGTTCCAAAGTTTCTTTTTAGTCCCAGTGTTGAGCTATGAAAACATGTTATTTATGAAATTTTGCTACTAATTCACCATTTCTTCTTGAAGAATGGTGATAAATTATGTAAGTGGAATTTCTTAATTTTTGATGCTATTTAGTGGATAGCCTTATGATTTAAGGTTTTTGTTTATGTACCATACCAGCAGGTATTAGACAATATAAGTCTTTGGGAACAGTCAGACATGCTTTATTGACACAAACTTTAGCCCAAAGAGATGCCAGGAGGAGCTCTAGCCCAAAGTGATGGAGGAGCTTTCAGGGCCCCGAATGCATCCATAGGTCTTTATGGCCCAGATCAGCCTCACCTGGTGAAAGTGATTAGCTGGGCCATATTTTAAGCTTTCTGAACACCGCAGGTTGTAAAAGAAAATGGTGCTAAAATGAGTAAGATATAACCGAGAAACATGAAGGGTAAAGAGAAAATAACGAACATGAGTCATTCAGCAATATTGCAGAAGAGTGTATATTCTCAGCCAATACACAATTCCCTATATTAATATATAATATAACATAGTATAGTATAGCGTAGCGTAGCATAGTGCAGCATAGTATAATATATAGCATAAAGTATATGCAGGAAAATAAGACTGTAATAGATAACATAAAAGAGGAAGTCCTTCCAGTGCAATATGATACCGATTCTAGTGCAAAGGTTATGTAAACGTAATTTATATCATACAGTTAATGTTGCAGTTTTACAGTCACGTTAAGCTCATACTTTTGTGAATTTAAATTGAACTTGGATTAGACAACCGAGATGGTTTACTATGCAGCACACTAGCTACAAAGAAAACCAGTTCTGAGATACTGTATCAGAAGAAACATAGATTTGGCCACTGTAGATCCACAGCCTCACTGAAAATCCCTGCCTAAAATGCATACTTTAACTGATAAAGAATCAGGCCCATAGGGGTAGGATGAAGATACAAACCATGGTGTTGACGATTACATTTGGGCAAGAGGTAATTAATCTTACAATAACAGACTCACAGGAAAAGAGACTTCAATGTCCTGCAGCCTGCTTGTCAAAACAGGGCCCTGTGCCTGGGTAGGTAGTATATAGGGAAGAAAATGAAATTAATTAAGGGACAATGTGTAAGAAATAAAAGTGCAAGAAAAATTGTGATAGATGTAGAACTGTTACTAGATTGTATCTTTTCAGATCCTGTGAGGTTTTTTTTTGTGTGTGTGAAATAATAACAAAAGACCTGTGCACTCATCCTCAGAGCTTAGTTCTCCATTGAATTTGCCTTTCTGAAGAGTGCTCATACTCTTCAGCAAAACTACATTAGCAAAGAAAAAAAAAAAGAAACCAACAAGGTGGAAATTTTTTTCTGTGCTTGATTTTGTTTTTAAACAATTCTTATTCCTGCATTACTTTCACTTTTAATCTATTCTCTAACTATTTGAAAAGCCCATGAAAAGGAAAGCTTTCACATCCATATTAAATAGTGGCCTTGGATGTAAAAGGAACGGAATACAAAATTTAGAAAAACAAGGATCAAAACATACATTTAAATTAAGTTCCCATTTATCAGATGTACATGTTCTTTTCAGAGTACCTTAACACTTTTGCACAGCTGATAACAAAAGAAGTGGACTTTGTTCTGCAAATCTAAGAGATTAGACTGGATGATGCAAACCCAGTAAGTTAATATCTTCATATTCCGTGCATAAAGCAAAGTTCAATATGTGACAATAAATGCACTTTGGTGTGTTTATTGATCTATTTACATTCCAAAATATATGTGGTGGGTTTTCTTCCTCTTTCTCGTATTCTAAGGCCCAAGAGATAAAACAACAGTTGTTTCTTTTTTATTAAAAAAAGTGCTGCCGATGTACCATGCCATAGAAATTATATTTTATGTTCATGTGAATGGTTCATTTAGCACTATACCACAGTGACCAGTGCTGGATGTTTTTAAGAAAGTAATAATCCCCATGGAATTTATAATTCTGAAATAATATGGTTAGAAAAAGTGTATCTCTCCCAGTTCAGACAGTACTTGACATTAAGTCATTTTAACTATGAATCACTGTGCATGAGCCTCATGTTAGGACAGGCAAAGCTCCAGAGCGTAGGAAGGAAGAAAGTCTAAGAATGAGCTAAACCCCAGTGTGGGGCACCTATGTATGCATATTCACTTAAATGCAGCATGGTGGTATTTGCCTGAAT